AAAATTATAGTATTTTATGTACACTTCTGATAAAATTTCATAAGAAAGGTACCTAAATTAATTAGATACCTTTTTTCTTATGAAATTTAATCTCACTATTAACAGTCTTATTTTTTTTAATTTCTTTATATTTTCCATAAAGCATCGTAAACGTAAAAATGAAAGCTAAGTACAAAAAAAAAAAAAAAATAAAATAAAAATTAGAGCGCTGAAAGTTTTCCTTAAAAGTAACAAGGTAAATAATTTGTTCACTTAAATAATTTCACTTCCTTCCATCCATAGAAAGAATTCTCCTCCGTAAGTTATCTAAACGTCATGAATGTGCCTTTCATCAAGCGACGCGAAAGGTTATGACCTGCTTTGTTTTATTTTCAAATTACATTTTTGGTAGCAGAAGCTAAGTTAAGCTTGGTTCAAAATATTTTAAATAAACAGTATAATTTCTGTTTTTATTAAAATCAGTTTTGAAAAAATGATAATTGATTTTTAAAAGAATATCAAAGTAAGATTTTAATCTTTTAAATCGAAAAGAATGATTGAAAATGATTCTGTCCTTTTTTTTTTTTTTTTTTTTTGACCAAAAAAAAAAACAATATTTGTAACGAAAATTTCAGACGTGCTAGGAACGATTAAAAAATGTAAAAAATACCCCCAAAATACTTTGATCTTTCCTCTTTAATAATATGAACATTAGACGATAAAATTTTGTTTTCATCAAGTTCGGCGTCTTTTTCATCATGCTATGCTCTTTTGTTTACATTTTCGTGGGTGAGTTGTCCCCCTTTCATTCTCATGATGTGTCTTAATCGTGTTTTCAAAATGATTTTCTTAAAAAGCAACTGTGTTTTTCCCATTTTTGGCCCTGTTAGAACCACCACAAGGTAATTTTATGTAGTCCTGTGAAGTTTTGTTGAAATCGGCTAAAAAATGTAGGAAATTCGATCCAACATATAAACATTACAGACACACACACACACACACACACACTGCGTTTTATAATAAGTAAGATGAGGACTCCTCATCGTAGAAATTCAGACTTGCCTCAATTTCTGGGATAGAAAGTTATTTCCACAATTTGCATTCAAACTATTATCCTCATCTTTGTTGTTGTTATCACAACATTTTGGTCGCTGTGCACTCCTTGGGTGTATATTGATCTGGGTAACCTGAACTGAATTCGTTATTTAATCTATGGGGGTAGGCTCTTCTAGTTTCACTACCCATGTCAAGTTCTTATTTCTACTCAGTTATTGGTCATTTCCACTAAGTCCAAATACATACTGCTCAGCCTAGGGATTGAACTCACAATTACTATGTCACCAAATTCATGAACCAACACTTTAATTCACTCGGTTATCATCCCATAGGACAATTCTCTGTAGTGAAATTGAAGCCTTAAACCTAACCTAACCTAACCTAACCTGCTGATTAGGTTGCAACTACTGGTTGTCATGTTTTGACTGCTGCTGCTGAAGAGTTGCTGTCATTTGTCTTTCTTTATTAACGGCTTCCATATTGTATTTATTTCTATACTGGATCTACTAAGGAGGTTCTCATAGCCTAGCATATGTGCTGATTCTTTCAGATCTCTAACTCTCCAATGTTCTTCCTTACCTAGTATTTTCACTTCATTCTGTAGTGGATGATGACTATCCTTTATCCTCCATACATGGTCAGCCATGCCCAATTTCATTGTCTTACCCCTGACTATGGTTTTTCAATGTTCCTCCCGCCTTACTTTTAGGAGGTGGTTTATATTCTTTGCCACAACTGCTACGAATGGAGTACACGCAGTTCTCAGTCATTAAACTTTGCAAAACAAACTCTCTATTAAAACCCTCTGTCTATCAAATGGGTCTAATGGACTCTTTTTTTTCTTTTTTTCAAAACTAATTTTATCCTCCTTATAGTTATTCTATATGAATTATTTTTTTGTTACTTCTTTTTTTTTTTTCATATCTATAAAGGAGATAAATTTAGAACAATAATTAAAATTTTGACGGGTGACTTCTCCTATTACCAAGTGGGCCTATTGGACCCATGGTTGAAATTTTTAATTAAATAAAAAATATCCACCATTCTGAATAGGTGCCTTTTTTTTTTTTTTTTTTTTTTTTTTTTTTTTTTAGATGGCTTTTCAAATTACTCTTTTTCTTAATTATACAATGCTTATAAAAGATTTCCAAAGACATTTGAAGATGATGCAATGCCACCTATTTTATTGTTTCATATTTATGAAACAATGCATCATCTTTGAAGGAATGATGAAACATTGCATCATCATTCAACAAGTATAAAAAACTGTGATTGCTTATCAACTATTTGGCTTTGACCTTTAGAGTTGTAATCTTTCCACAAAATGTCAAAGCATAAAAAAGTTAAACTTTGAAGATATTTTGCAGTTATTATCAGAGTTAGATGAAGAGTGGGAAGAAGAAATTTGTGGTGAATCTTTTTTCTGAAGATGATAATGAAAGTGATAATGTCAGGATTATTTATTCAGAATCGGACGACGATGATATGAATGATGGCGACAAAGCTGTCAGAAATGATTCTTTAAACCCTTCAATTATGGAGGAAAAGTATTCTTCAAAGGATATGTCTGAAATTTGGTTTTCTAAACCAATTGAAAAAGGCACAAAGTCCATCTTACAATGTTTTACATCAAAAGCCTTGACCTTCACCTTTTGCAAGAGGATCTTGTCATTCAGCTCTTTCATCATTTATATTGTTCATGAAGTTAAATCTTCTGGAAATTTGATCCAAAAATGGACAAATGCTGAAGGAATTTGGGTCTATAAAGATAAGTGAATAGAAATAATTGTTGAATTTAGAAAGTTTATTGAATCAATTATTCTTATCAGAGTTTATAAATCCAAGCATGAAAATGTTACTCAACTTTGGAGTCTTGAAGATGGACATCCCCCTTTTCAACAAAGTTATAACCAGGCAATGATTTCAATAATAAACAATTAGTCACATTTAGAAGATGCTATCATTTTTGAATATACATTCCATCTAAGCCAGAAAAAAATATGGAATCAAAATTTGGACCATACGTGGTAGGGAAACATCTTACGCCTGGAAAATATAAGTCTATGCAGGACAAAAAAAAAAAAACAGGAAAAAGGATGAGAAGAGAAGCAAGGTTTAAGGATAGTTTAATATATGGCTAAAGAACTTGAAAATTCTGGTAGAAATATAAAATGTGTTAATTATTATTTTATTTTTTATTTTTTTTACCAGTTTTGAATTATCCAGGAATCTCCTCAATAAAAGATTACTCTAGTTGAAACAATTAAAAGAAATAAGGTTGAACTTCCTTTTGCTCCTTCACAAATGGAAAAGGAAGAGAAATAAATAGCACTTTATTTGGATTTTAAAAGGATTCTATGATTCTTTCTTATTGCTCAAAGAAAAATTACTGTGCAAAACACTTTTGAGTACAATGCGTTCTACAATAGTCATCAGATTCTTCAAAGGACGCCTGAAGTAATTTTATAAGACAAAAAGAGGCATAGATACACTTGATAAGATGCTAAGGACATTCTTGCAAGCGCATGACTTGGAGAGGGCCTTTGTCTCTTTTCTACAATATGATAGACATGAGTGTCGTTAATGTGTTCATCATAGCCAAAGATCTTGGGTTAGAATGTATGAGGAAAAAAAGTAATTTCTTCATGTCTTGGAAAAAACTTGCAATTATTGATACAACTAAAAACTCTAGTGTGAAATACACCACCGAGGAACAATCTAATGAGAGAGAAAAAAAATGCACATTGTGTGGTCCTAAAATGGATAGAAAAAGGCAAACTGTCATATTTGCCAAAAACATGTCTGTCAAAGCCATTTGAAAGTTTCTGTGCAAAATGCAGCAATGAATTGTAATTTTTTAAAAAATGTAATTTGAATTAAGTTTATAATTTCAGACTAAATGCAAAGATGCATTGTAATTTTTCTATGTCGAAGAATAAATTTTGAGTAAAATTGTTATTGCTTTGCCCATCTATAATTATACATACCCAATATAAAAAAATGCTAAAAATTGGAAAAAAAAAACAAAAAAAACTAGCAATGGGTCTATTGAACCCATGCAGAAGTCTGTTTTCTTGGTAGACAAAGAGTTTTAATATAATTTTAAACAAAATTGACAAGTTTTGTTTTTGTACATGTGTAATTTTCAAAGTATATACATTCAATAATAAACATTTAAATTTTGTTGAATATCAAAAAAATTATCTACATCTATGTGCAAATTTTTATTTTTTTTTTTTTAATTCTTTTGGCAAAGTTACAATAAAAAACCTCAATTTTATTGAAAATATTTTAAAACCTTTTTTTTTTTTTTACATATGATAATCAAGAAACTAATGGATTTTTAATCCAAAAATTACTTATTATCTTTGTACTATATCCCTCCTGGATGTAGGCAATCATGGCTCTCCACAACTTCCTACCATTTGTAGCTCTAAGCAATTTCTATCTCCTTACTATCCTTCCCACTCCCTGTTCTGCCATCCATTTATAGAAACTGATTAAGTTACTTGCTGTTTTCTTCTGTATATCTTGCCTTCTATATGTCTTGTAAGTGTCATAATCTCCAAGCCCTTTTTCCTCATTATTTGTCCTTCCAATTTCAACTTTTTGATTCAAAGTATAAGCATTTTTTACTTTCCCATTTTCCTTAAAACTTCCTCATTGCTCACATGTACAGTCCATGGTTATCTTTAATGATGTCTCTTGTAGCTAGGTGGTTAAACATGATTAAGTGAATGCAGGTTCAATCCCTGTCGAAAGGCACATTTAACTTTAAGAAAACTTTCAATTTCCAGGCTGATAAATGCCAATTTCAATGTTTAAAATAACACAGGGCTGTTTTCTCAAACACCATGTACCTACAAAATACAATGTTTATAGAAATAAGATGACCAATAAATATTTGCTGATAGTTTGTTTCATTTTCTTACATAAATTTTTTCTGAACCTTTTTTGTATTGTAGTTGTGACTTCAGAAGAAGTAAGCCTGGCCCAGACAAACGGTATGGAAATCTGTTTACCAGATCAGAAAGAACCAACTCCTCATCAGCAGGAAGAGGTGCCGAGATTCTCAAATTGGAAAGAAGCCATCACTCATTCAATTGAAGAAATCAAGTAAGACTTTGTTGGCCAACACCATACATTGTTGATCATCTTTCATAACAAGGTTGTGGCTCATAATACTCTTTTTACAAGGGTGGGGGGATATGGATGCTGTGCATGTCAAGCCAATCTTTAAAAAAACATGCCATAAAACAGAATCACTTAATTATATATATATATATATATATATATATATATATATATATATATATGTATATATATATGTATATGTATATTTAGGCAGCATATCTTCATTCAAACAGTTGTTTTTTAAAAATATAGACATATTATGTCTATTTATTTTTATAATAATCGTTTCCAGTTCTCTCATCAGTTTCTTGACATTAAGATGAAATTCATCAAGGAAGACACCATAGTTTTTTTCTATCCCAAATACTTTTGATCTCCTTCAAGATCATAATCAGGGGTGAATTACAAAGACAAACTTATTGTAACTGTAATCATTGAGATGAAAAAATTTTTTTTTTAAAAAAACCCACATGAATGTACTCTGTTATAATTATTTTAAAATTTTAAGTTTATCCATTGTAGCTGTGGAATTTTTTGCAAAACAAGCATCCCAATGTAATGTTTTGCAAGAAATTCCATAGTTACAATGGGTAAATTTAAAATTATATTCACACGTTTTTAAAAATCGTCATCAGAAGATGAAACGCATTGACAAAAACAAAAAAAGTTTTTTTTTCCTATTGTCCTTCTTATACGAAAATGTCTGTATATAATTTGTTTCATATACTGAACAATCAACAGGTATATATCATTTATTTCTCAACATATATTTGCTCTGTTTTTGTGGAAACTTTTTTATTATGACTTTTAAAATCTTTTGATTTCTTTTCACATTATCTAAATTTTTTTTTCTTAGAAATCTATATAATAAATGCAAAAATGTCTGTGCATGTGTCTCACTTTTTGAATTAAAGGTACACAACTCTCTGAAAAATTCTTACATCTGGTGCCATGTTCAAAGACTCAGCCTAAAAACAAACATGAGAGTTAGAATCAGAGATGACCTCAAAGCAGGAAGATTTGCTGCTTTGCTGTTGCAACTTGGCAATGGAACCATCAAAATGGAGATATCTCACTCGCAGATGGTTATAGAGTTTCAGTTTCAAGTATCCAAGACTTGATTAACCATGTTTATCCAAACATTAATCACCATTTCATGGATTCAAACTAGCTTTGTGAGAGGGCCGTATTAGCTTTGAACAATCAAACTCTGGATAGCCTCAACTCAAAACTTCTCCAAGAAATTTCAAAAAGCCTGAAATACTTTTCCATTAACACTGTAGTTGAACAAGAGCAAGCAGTGAATTATCCAATAGTTCCTGAACTCATTGAATCCTCCTGGAATGCCATCATATAAACTGGAACTAAAAGAATATATGTCAGTTATGCTATTGAGAAATCTGGATCTTCCAAAGCTTTCGAATGGAACCAGGTTAATTGACAAGATGCTTCCTCATCTCTTGGAAGCAGAGATCCTTACTGTTTTAGAAAAGGAGGAAAGAGTTTTAATTCCAAGAATCCCCTTAATTCCTCAAGGTCTTCATTTTGAGTTAAAAAAAACTTTAGTTTCCAATGAGAGTGAGCTATGCCATGTCAATCAATAAGTCCCAAGAACTATCATTGAAAGTAACTAGACTTCATCTGATGGAACCTTGCTTTTCTCACAGCCAACTCTGTTGGTTGTTCAAGGTCTTGGAATGGAAACAAGCTATTTGTACTGATCCCGAATAGGAAAACCAAAAATGTTGTTTATCATGCAGCTTTGCAATAAGTTCAAAATAGACAAATTATATCATTGTTTTGATAAAAACTTTGTTTGAAAAATATTGTTAAAGTTTAATAAAATTTGATATGTACTCAATACATGAAGTGTCATTGTTGGGCCAAAGGCCAGTCAAAAGCCCTCTGCAGAAGATAGCTTTAATGCTGCCTGATAGTGTGGTTTTTAAGCTAATTTTAAATAAAACTGAAATTTACTCTCTTTCCATATTTAGGAAAGTTCAGTCTTGAACAATGGTTTCTTAATATCCAGGTTCATTCGGCTTGAGGACTTCAACTACCATGAAGACTCCTCCCCATTCTCTTTTGTTTCTTGCAAAAGTTTTCTGGGAGAGAAAAAAAAAGTCCTTGAAGGATTTGTGGATGAACATGTTTATATCTGAACAGTGGAAACTATCTTGATATAACTGTCTATATGATGCTGTCTTGGTAATTTGATTGAATGACATTTTACCTTTTCCATTATTTCAGCTGAAGAGGCAAGGCTTCTCATTGAATTTTTTATAGAGCTGTATGAATTCCATTTTAAACAATGCACTAATCTAGAAGACAACACTTTGTAAATTAAACTATTGGTTTTAAAACCTATCTAGCTTCATGGCAGTTGTAAGTTCAATCCTTGTGTTAGTTAGTGCAGTAAAGTCATATTTTATGCAAACAAGACAAAAGATAAAATAGACTAGAAAGAACTGATGAGATATCTCCAAGTTAAAAATGAGAACAATCTATCCATGTGGGATGAATAAAGTGTCGTCAAGTATGACATACACCTGTAGAAGTGTGGCAGGTACAGTGGCCAAAATACAAGTATACTAGTTCAAATGTACAGACGTATAATAATTCCTCATCTTGAGAATTCTGACATTAACTAAATTCAAATATTTCTCACAGGACTTGATGGATACAAAAGGGACAGATGAAAGTAGTGAGTAACCTACCTCAGTTGTTTGTTTAAATGGATGACAAAACATGGATTGGAAGAAATAAAGACAAACTTTAGTAAAGGTGACAAAAGATAGGAAGTTGTGGTGAACCATAATTGTCCACATACAAAAGAAACACAGCACATAGAAAATTTACCTATTTTATATCCTATAGAATTGAATTTTTTTTCTTTTTTTTTTCTTTTAGTAAAGTGCGTGCAGAACATGGCTTACCAACTCTATCCTTGGAAAATCTGCTGCCTGACCATTACATGTCCACTCACAATTCAGAAAGGGTTTGTATTTACATTGTTTCTTTTTTTTTTGTTTTTTTATTGTCTCTTCCTTCTTCTTCACTTCCTCCTCTTTCTCATTCTGTGCTTATCTTTGTTTTATTTGCTTATGTTTTTTGTTGTTTTTTTTTTCTTTTGCTTTAAATATTTTGAAAAATCGGTTTCTGTCTCGTAGAACAATTTTTATTCTCATTTATCTTTCTTTATCAATTTTTCTAAATCAGGAGGAAGAGGATGAAAAGGTTAGTAATTGATTTTCATCATCAATACATGTGCACAAACACGCACACCACATTGTTGCCATATAGAGAACCCACAAGGAAATCTAAAACAGCTTTGATAAACTCTTGTGTTTTAGCTAGAGACATTTTGAAGCCAACAAGGCTCTCTTAGATCTTTTCCTTGTGGCTTTTACTATGTAGATATAGTTATGCATGCCATCATTTCATTGTGCTAACATAGCCTTTGATGTGAATGAAATTGTTATGTTGATGTCTGTAAACGAATCCTTGTTGTCACTGATAAACGTTTATTTTCTTTTTCTTAACATTCCAAATATTGGATTTTCTTTTATTCTATTGAAAACTCAACTTCTCTCTCTTAATTTTCAAAAATAAGGAATTGTCATCGTTATATCTTAAATATGGACACTAGCCTAAAAAAGATTTAGTTGTTTATAATCACATTTTAATTAATCTGCTCCCTGGTCATCTTCAGGCATTTGTAGTATTTAGTGATCTTGATTCCACTTAGGTAGGTTCTTCCTATTCCACAGAAAAGTCGGTCAGTCCTTTTGTTTAGCAGTAAATTGTCTCTTTGGCTTCAGTTGACTAAATAAGAAGTAATATAACTAGAAAGAATTAACTGATACATACTGGTATGTGTGCTGGAATAAGAACATACTACCCTTGTAAATTGAATAAAGGGTTTCATTTGAACTTTCAAAAGTTACCAAATGCAGTACAAGCATGAAGACTGTTCAAGATAGAACAACTGAAATGCTATGACCAGGACAACCAAGATAGGGATATTAGTTTGAATAAGTTATATAATTGTTGTAATTGAGTTAGCAAAACAAGAGTAGAAAACTGGAATTGGTTTAACAAGTTTAACTTTTGATACAGAGAAATATAATGTAGAATAGAAACTAGGGAAGAGAATGCTTAGCCGTGAATGACTGTTTTCAGCAAAAGCTACTGCTGCTACTCCTCTTGATGTAGGAGTATCTTTGTCTTTCATCTAACACCTAAGTCCAAAGTTGTAGGGAAATATTCTCCCTCACAACAATAATAAACCAAATTATATAGTAACCAAACTACAATGCAATATTTATTATTTACCATTTTATAGAGAAATAAATTTAAAATATCTTTTTCTTCAAAACTTTATTAAAAAATTACAAAATTATCCAAATATGTAAACCAACTACAATGCAATATTTATTATTTACCATTTTATAAATAACTATAAGAACAAGTTTTTTATTCATAATTTTTATAAAAATATCAATGAACTATAGTAGAAAATACATAACACATTTTCTTCTTATTTTATCTCTCAGATTACTTGTTTTAATTTTCCAATTTTTTCATTATCGTGATTGATGATCGGCTAATTGCCAATGTGATATTTATTATTTACTATTTTATAAAGAAATAAATATGAAAAAATCTTTGTATTCAAAAATTTTTTAAAATTACAAAATTCTCAAAATATGTAAATCAACTACAATGCAATATTTATTATCATTTTATAAATAACTATGAAATCAAGTTTTTTTTTTCTTCATAATTTTATAAAAATATCAACAAATTATAAAACAAGAAAATTTGAATAAGCATATTTATCTATTTTGCTTTTTAAAATAAACCTTGCTGAAAGAGTCAAAAGTGTATACAATAATAAGTGTCAAAGGAATAAACCTCCTTTTGACACCCCATTTTGGAGGGGGGTGGGGGGCGTCAAGGGGTGAAGGTTAAATATTACTGAAATTTTTATTTGAAATTAAAGAATTGATTCCTGACTTTTCTCTAATCATACACACATTTGGATACATTCAAAATAATTAAGATTTGTACAATTGTCATAATAAAACAAAAGTTAGATTTAAGATCTGATTTTTAAGTTTTGAAAAATATTGTAGTGGAAGTGGATAGAAAACAACCTTTTGATAAAAACATTTCATATTTGTCGAGTACTATCTTAATGTTTGATTACCAAAGCAAAAAGAACCAAGACAAAATTTCAGTATTGAAAATGGAAGACTTAAGTTATCACAGATTTATATTCTCAATGAAACTTACGCTTATCTCAAATTATCAATGTAAAATTTATTTAACTTTTTTAATTCTAACATTCCCTATACACTATGCAAACATGGATTTGTACCTGAAAAACGGATTTATAAAGACATGTAAATTATATATCACATTTATGTGGTCTTGTGGAGGTATATTCACTCATACCATGTAGTCATTAAGCTGGGGCTTGTGTTCACCAGGAAAAACAGAACAAACATATATAATAACAATAATAAAAAGAACATGGAAAATTGTACGATAGTTTTGTGTATTAGTGTGTGTGTGTGTGTGTGTGTGTGTTTTACATTACAATTGTGATAAGGTTCATGTTATAAAAGGGAGTAAGTCACTACATAATATCACAAGTCCTATCATGGAGAGAAGTTATACATGTGCTGTCATCATGACAGTCCTTGGGTGAAGAGATTGAATCTCACATCTCTTGACAGGATGTTCATATTTCCAGCAGGAACAGTCCCTGTTGCATGCTGGGTGTAATTTTATTTAGTTTGTTTTTTTTTTTTTATTTATTTATTTTAAACGAGGCTTAAATTTTATTTTATTTATAATTTTCATTATTATTATTATTTTATACTTTATCATTTATAATAACAACAATGTTCCTACAGTCTTCACAACATAGAGGCTGAATGTAGAAATTAATAAATTCATATATTGTGTACCAACATTAAAATGGTTTTGTATATCTATAAAACAATAAAGCAACTTTGAAAAGTTTGTCATTTTATGAACATAAGATACTGTCTATATTTCTGAGATGAGGTATTAATTACACTATTTACATTATTTGGACTATTGTCCTCATCTTTGTCACAATGTTTCGGCCGTTGTATGCTCGGACCTTCTTCAAGTGGTTGGAATGTTGACCTGAGCCCTTTCTTTCGCTCACTGAGGTAGACTGTTCTAGTTCCATGTGCCATGTTTAATGGATGTCAGTTATCATTCTCCTGTTAATTCCCCTCCACTGCCTTAAGCGGGTATTGAACTTGCACTCTTTGGGTCCTGTCACTGGATCTAACCAACGCCTTTATCCACTGTGCCATGTGTCCTCAAGGATAAAGGCGTTGGTTATATCCAGTGACAGGACCCAAAGAGTGCAAGTTCAATACCCAGTTAAGGCAGTGGCGAACTTGTAGAGGGGAATTAACAGGAGATAACTGATAACTGACATCCATTAAACATGGCACGTGGAACTAGAACAGTCTACCCCCAGTGAACGAAATAAAGGTTTCAGTTCAACATTCCCACTACCTGAAGAAGGCCGAAACGTAATAAATATGGCAACAAAGATGAGGACAATAGTCCAAATAATGTAAATAGTATAAGATACTTTGAAAATAATAACATTGATAATAATAAAACAATGCAAATATCCTTGTATTGTTTATATTGGGGATTTTCTCTCCACTTCAAAGAAAACTTATATATGCTGCCCTGTGTCTGTGCAAGAGTCACTTACACTAGCTCCCACATGTATAGTTTCTCTTTTATGGTGTGCAATCACCAGTTTTAGACAAGCATTAAAAAAAAAAGGACTTTGAAAAACTCTGCAGAAAGACTAATGGAATTTTGATTTTTCTCTTTTTGCAAATTTCTCATGTTTTTCCCATTTTGTAGTAAATGTGTTTTTGTTTTGCTTTTTTTCCCTTCCTCTGTCATAGATGTTTTTATTGCACTTCTGTTGTAGATGTTTCTTATTGTACTTCTGTCGTAAATGGGTTTTTTTGTTATCCTACCTCTGTCGTAGATGGGCTTTTTTGTTATCCTACCTCTGTCGTAGATGGGCTTTTTTGTTATCCTACCTCTGTCGTAGATGGGCTTTTTTGTTATCCTACTTCTGTCGTAGATGGGCTTTTTTGTTATCCTACCTCTGTCATAGATTGGGTTTTTTGTTTTTATATCCTACCTCTGTCATAGATGTTTTTTTTTTTTTTGTTATCCTACCTCTGTCATAGATGGGCTTTTTTGTTATCCTACCTCTGTCGTAGATGGGCTTTTTTGTTATCCTACCTCTGTCGTAGATTGGGTTTTTTGTTTTTATATCCTACCTCTGTCATAGATGGTTTTTTTTTTTTTTTTTTTTTGATATCCTACCTCTGTCGTAGATTTTTTTTTTCTCTGTTGTAGATGTTTTTTTTCCTTACCTCTATCATAAATGTTTTTTGTTTTTTTCCACTTCTGTTGTAAATGTTTTTTTTGTTTTTTTTTCATACACACCTTTTATAGCTAATAGTTTTCTCTCTCTCTCTCAAATTTATTTTTAAAAATATCAGAATTATATTCTCTCATGATAAACCATCAGATGAGATAAAGTAATTTTTAATAATTTGTTTTCTTTGCTATATAAAATGTTTATTTTTAATTTTTTTTTCAATAATTCAGGAAGAAGAAGAAAAAGAAGAGGTTAGTAATGTGTCACCACACACACATAGATACACACACATTAGTCAAAAGCACATTTCACCCATTCCCTAAAACTCTACAGCTCAGACAGGAGTTTCTTTCTTCTAATTAAAGCAAGACTATAATACAAAGACATCACTTTCACTAATTTATTTCAGTTCTAAACTATTTCAATTGTGGAATTTTTCTCACTTGAAATTCCAATCTTCTCTTCATCTTGTCCTTCAAAAACTGCTTCCTAGCAATGTAGTCTTTTGTGAATTCCCATTCTATTTTTGG